AAAGACAGTGAGCAGCGAAAAAAGCCGAAACCTTTTACCTTCGATCGGCGAAGGGCAAATAACGTCAGCTTTAATAGACCAACTGTAGTTTTATTGTTTCTTGCCAAAAATCCCCACCCACCAGACGTTTCTCTCATCAGAAGGAATGAAAGTTATGATGTCTTTGTTTAAGAAGTTCTCTGTGGTTTTCACGGGGACAGAAACGGAGAAACTTGAACAACATACAAAATTTTGGATTTAAAAATCTTAAATGAAGTTAAAATATTTTTTTATATATAATTATAATTTCTTATCGAATAAAATCTTATAAGAATTGTGATTGTCCCTCAGTTCTTTAGTCTACACGACCGTTACGGCCTACCAATACTTCATAAATAATGAATTATTCCGTTTTGATCACGTGGAAAGACAAGACATATCGGAGACGCAACTTGGTTTAAATAAAAGATAGATAGATAGATAGATAGATAGATAGATAGATAGATAGATAGATAGATAGATAGATAGATAGATGCATGCATTTAGCGTCTCCTGCTAATACCTCATAAATTATGGACTATTCCGTTTTGATCATGGGAGAAGACAAAAGCCTACTTGAGAAAATGAAAAGAAAGGAAGGAAGATAGAAGTCTTTAACGTCTGTTTCAGTAAAATGGGAAAAGTTGTCAAATTCACATCTTTTCATTTGTACCTCCTTATTAAAATGATGACCAGCATTCATATTTACGATTTGATGTGTGCTTGTGTGAACTATAATGCGTACACCTATATGTGTGTATGTATGTATGACTGTGCGCGTATGAGTGTCATCCCAAAACGGACATAGAGGTGAAATTTCACCCAAAACAAAATCAAACACAAACTAACATAAATATATTCAATTTTTAAAAAATAAATCAGTTTGTATGATAATCGCAAAAGCGTGAATCCCAAAGTCGCAAACTTATATCCATACAACGCAATATATATATATATATATATATATATATATATATATATATATATATATATATATATATATATATCTCACTGGTCCCGGTCACTTAATTATATATATTTTTCTCGTACTGTGTTGGCCCTCTTTTTACCTTTAGAAGCGCTAAAATTCCTCTTGGTATGAATTCAGTGAGGTTCTGGAAGCACAGTTTCGAAATTTTAATCTATGTTGTTTTTATGGCATCTCTAAATTCCTCTAGACTTTTTGGCTGTTAATCCAGGAATCGAATCTTCCATTCCACCACATCCCGAAGGTTCTCAACGGGATTGATATCTAGTAACCCTGGATGACGTTTTAACACAGAAAACGCATTGCTGTATCCTATGAACCAGTCTGCTACTATTTTCAACTTGTAACATTGTGCGTGGTCCTGCAGAAAGTGCCCACGAGAGAAATACATGGTCAACATAAATTGAGACACGGAGTCAATCACAGTACCAAGTTAGGTTGTGCTATTTAAAAGATCTTTATTACTGTTTCAATTTTTTTTTTAATCATTTCACCCCAAGCAAGGAAATAAAGCCACCGAGACATATGGGGTTACTTAGAGTGAGAGAGTATAACAAAAAGAAAACATTATTAAAGAGAGATCAATAAAAGAACAGGAATTAAGAAGACAGAAGATAACAATTGACATTGGATTTACATTTTTGAAGCCATTTCAACTGCGAAATAAGGGGACCTTTCCGCCAATCTAGTGCCGCGCTGAAATTCATAAAGTACAGATACCAAAGAGAAAAGCTCATCAGAATAATTACCATGAAAGTATTTTTTAGACAAGGCACAGGAAGGCTACGTTACAGTGGCAGCAAAGTGATTGATAACATTGCAAATTCTTCTTCGTAGTTTATGAAGAATCTCTAAATACATAGCAGAAGCACCAGACCAGATGTGACAACAATATTCAATGTATAACTGAACTGTAGATTTATAAACGTGTAAGACAGATTCTAGCGAGAAAAAATTGTCTACCACTACAAAATGATCCAAGTTTCTTCGCAGCAGTCTTTGTAATTGATTCGATATAATCGTTCCACTTCATGTCAGAAGAAAATGTTACTTCACAAGCAGTCCCTCTTCCGGAGGTTAGCATCAGCCATATTGAGGGAAGGCAGATCTGTTCTTTGCTTTGTTTGTTTGTTTGTTCATTTTTCCTTATTTTTTTGTTTTTGTTTTTTGGAGGCATTAAAATTAACGAGACTTGTGACGTCAGCATAGATACCGAGCTGAGAACTAATGACATCATGAAGGCCGTGGATGAAAATTAGGGACAACTTCAAGTTCAAGGATGGAGCCTTGAGGGTGGGGGGAACACCTGTATTAATACAAAATGATCTAGAAGAGTTGGCGGTTTGAAAGAAAAAATTGAATAAAAACAAAATTTTATCCCCAAATACCATAACCTTTCAACTCGTGAAGAAGCCCAGCGTTTCAAAACCCTGTCAAATGCTGTCGTGATATACAAAGCTACAGCACAAACCCCGCCGTTCTTATCTAAAGATTGATAGACTCTGTAATCGATAACCGTTAATACATCAGCGATGCGAGATGCTTAACCAAGACAGAATTGATTAGAGCCTCTGGTACTTTGCCAAAAAAAAAAAAAGTAAATAGGCTGGTAGATGGATCAAATTCATCGACTGGTTTCTTAAAGACTGGAACAATAAAAAAGTATTTCCAACAAGCAGGAACGTAACAAGAAGCCAGGCATTTATTGTAGACTTTAAAGAGAACAGGAACCAATTCAGGACCACATAACTTAAAAACTGATGCAGGGATACCATCGTCCACATGCATGTGGGAATATAAAACAAAAAAGCTTGGATGGAGTTATATACATTTTTCTCAATAGATTCATTTATAAGAGGAAGGCCAGGTAGAGATAGATTAAATGAGTCAAGAGTATGCCAAAATGTATACCATTAACACTATCGGTGTGAACCATTCGCACAAGACCGAATGCATTCATACGTTCATGTTTGCGCCAAACCATCCGAATGTCGCAACAGAAATCATGGCTTATTATACACACACACACACACACACACACACAAATACACACACACACACACACACACACATATATATATATATACATGGAAACAAAAATAAAAAGTATCTAAATGAGATCAGCTAGATTATATACCACAAACGCATAAAAAAATTAAATTTAAAATTCGCAGCGTCTCTTGCGCATGTGTAGTGCCATCAACATAAACAAACGTCACACGAATATATATATATATATATATATATATATATATATATATATATATATATATATATATATATATACCATATACGCCAGCTGGATGTTTTCCATAAGCTGTCTGCGTGCCATCTGTTGAGTTAGCCTACAAGACAGAACATCCAATGTAGACTGGTTTAACAGATGTAATATTGGAGGAATCGATACTATCCTCATACAGTCTCAGTTGTGGTGGACTGGTCATGTCTTGAGAATGTCTGACGACAGGATACCCAAGATGCTAATGTACAGCCAGTTAGATCAGGGCTACAGGAATGTAGGACGCCCATATCTTAGGTAAAAAGACAAGCTGAAGAGCAACTTATCAGCTGTCAATATACATTATAACACCCTCGAGCGCTTAGCCTTGGAACGGGGACAGTGGAGATCAACTTGTTTTAGCGGACTCAGCAGTTTTCAATCTGTTAGTCTGAATCGTCTTTAAGAATTGGTTAAGCTCTCAGATGCTCATAAGTCGAAACCGATATATATATATATATATATATATATATATATATATATATATATATATATATAGTGGAGTAGTGGATAGCGGCTCGGATTGAGGAATCGGAATCCATTACATTCACTTACGTGCTAATACCCTAGGGAAAGACATTAGTCTTCTTCTCCCTCCAGCTATAGGTAAATAGCAGGACATAATGGGTTCTATAGCCTTGGATGGCAACTGGTCTACGAAAAGGGCAACTAAATTCAAAAACCTGCGGAGGGTCGTTTGGGGACATGGCACGTAGTGTACCAGGTCTGTATTCGGCTCTTCAAAAGTGTGGTTGGTTACGCATAAAGCCTTCACCACTATAATCAAATCATATGTGCTGGAGTCTGGCTGTAGGTTCCTAAGAACTGAGCCGCTTGACCATCATACCTTGAAAACGACAGGAGAATCCACCATATATATATATATATATATATATATATATATATATATATATATATATATTCTCTGTTTATATATATATATATATATATATATATATATATATATATACAGAGAAACCCGGATATAAGAGAGATTTTCTTTGGTCCCAAATTAGAGCCTGTGTTAATGTATATAAAATAAACCAAACCCGGATATAAGAGAAACTCGGATATAAGAGACTTCTTCTCCGGTCCCGACAACTCTTTTATATCCGGGTTACACTGTATATATATATATATATATATATATATATATATATATATACACTGCGTGCCAAATTATTATCGAGATATCTTTATCTCTAATATTTCAAAAACCCTTTTCAATTCACACAAAATTTTCACACGTTGGCCACACTGATCTGTGTAATCACTGAAATTTTCTTACTGATCTGCGCAATGTAAACAAACTGGCGCCATATTTGTTATCAGCACGGTGATTTGAAAGTGCCAAATTATTAGAAAAGTATTAGAATTTAGTGATAATTTTGTGTGAATTGAATGGACGGTTTTTGAAATATTAGAAAAATAGTTATCTCGATAATAATTTGGCACGCAGTGTATATAATGAATTCTTCCGACGATATGACGATACAATTGTTCAGTTTCGAACTTATTTGCTAGATCAGATTAATTGTTTGTAGTGCTGAAATCTTTTTTCATTGCCATAAAAACCACTTTTCTGTTTCCAAAAGGAATATTGGAATTATTTATACGTGGACTATTCTCCTCATCTTTGTTGTTGTTATCATAACGTTTTCGACCAGGGTTTTGTCGATCCAGGTAACCATCATAGAATTTCAAGACTTACAGCCACATTACACCGGTTCTCATACGATCAGCGAAGTTAGGCAACGTCGAGCCTTGTCATTACCTAGATGGGTGATCGCTTCGGAATACCAGATGCTGTAAGCATGGATGTGCTGCTGGTGTAATGGCATGGAATTGTTCATCGTAAATCCGACTTTTAACTCCAGTTCGGTTCGTTATATTCACTTACGCGAAAATACCCTTGGGAAAAGGTATGAGTCCACCTTTTCCCCAAAGCTATGGGTTAATTAGCAAGACTTGCATCAATAAATCATTATGACCATCAAAAATAAAAATTCTTATAATCCAAAAATATTTTCTGGCTTTAAATAACCCGAAATGGGTTGATATACCGTAGAAAACGAATAAGTGAGGAAATTTCGAACTGAAACACGTATTTGAATCTAAAAAGGCAAATTGTACATGTTCCGTTGGAAAGGAGATAAGTCATGTTGTTCTTATTTTAGTATTGCTAAATTAATTCTTGCTCTGTTTCCAAATACACCGGAGCAGAGATTGAACTCACAATTACTATGTCTTCAAATAAACGAACCAACGATTTTATCCAGTAGCCTATAGACTTCTCATTAGAATTACCGACAACAAATATTCAAATATCTATGAGTTCCTTCTAAATCGGTCAAAAGATCAGTTTACATATATAGTCTTTCATTTGCATATCGACCGAAAAGAATTTGAATCATTTTTATCAAATTTGCTATACGTGGAGGGAAGGTTCACTATTCAAGGAGAGAGCGTTTTAAAAATTAACAGTGTCGTCATACAAGTCGACATACATACATATATATATATATATATATATATATATATATATATATATATATATATATATATATATATATATATATATACATACATACATATATATATATATATATATATATATATATATATATATATATATATATATATATGTGTGTGTGTTTTTGTCTTATATTCCGTAAAATGTTGCATAAATAAGGAATGAACGCATCGACTTCATTCCTGTAAGGTCATTTGCACAAGTTAGACTTAATTATGTAAATTTGTTTCAAATATAAGTTATTTATCATAGCTATTTGCAATAATATACGTTTACACATTCACACACTCTCTCACTCTCTCTCTCTCTCTCCCTCTCTTCTACTTATTCACGTGTACGGTGATATGCAGGGAGAAAAAAAGCTATTAACTACTAAGCTTGGCCATGTGTGGCACAAGGCTATCATAATAGAGCACTGAGAGGGGATAATTGAGTGCAAAGACAATGGTCTACAAGACTAGCCTACTATGACAAAGAGAGTCTAAATATTTAGACTCTCTTCAATTCTTCACTATTCTCCCTCACACACACGCGAACACACACATACATATACACACACACATGCACACTTATACATATCTATAGATATATATTTAATGAAGACACCCCAAGCAAGGCGTTAATGCCACTAAGATTCAAAGGGCTAATGGATGTAAAGGAGAATAAAAAGGACTTTAGAAAAAAACGGAAACCCAATTCTAAAGAGGAAACAAGGGATCTACCTCTACTCGCGTTCAAAAGTCGGGGAGGAGTGTGAACCGGACGATAGGTGAACCTATCTACTCAGAGAGACAGACAAGGAGATCCTTATCTATTTTTAAAATATGGTCAGCATAGTCGTATAACTTATAAGTATCGAACATTAACTATAGTGAACTAATTTATCTTCCTAGGCATTTCTCTATAGAATCCATATATATATATATATATATATATATATATATATATATATATATATATATATATAATGCATAACGATGCAGTCTTTTCTCTCTTCGTTTTTATCAGACATGTTCACACACACACGCACACACACACACACACATATATATATATATATATATATATATATATATGCATGTTTCATTAAACATACATATATATATATAGTGTGTGTATGTATTTGTGTGTGCGTGCGTGTGTGTGTGTGTATGCGTCCGTGTGTTCGACTCAGTTTTTCATCCGTCTCACGTTTAGTGGCAATTTTGAAACCTGTTAATTTCCTTGGCTATAAATCAGAGAGTAACATAAATAAGTGAAACGCTTGTCGCCGTTTCTAATTCACTTCGATCGCTGAGAACGGGTCGTTGGCGGCGCTTTCGCTGTGAATGGAATTGGCACTCACTTAAGACAAAAAAGGGCAGACAACTCTCTCCCTCACCCTCCCTCGTCTGTTTACCATTGAACTTTGACATTGTCGAGTGACATTCAATTTGAAATTGACATCTGATTAAATTGATCCCAATTCGAAATCTGGTTATTATTAATTAAATCTTAATGACAGTGACAGGGAGTGAGATGGCGACTTGTGACTTTCAACTTTTATTTTAGTTTGCTGTCAGGATGGCGGCAGACACATAGGCACAAGAGGAGAATGAAAATAAAACTGTTTGCGGAGTACACAGTAGAATCAGAACCCAAACTTCATATCTCTCGAGAACAGAACGATCATAAAAAGACTAAAATTTGATTCCAGCGATTGTTACGATTGGCAAACTTGACCAAAGTTAAAACATATCTTCCTTGTTCGATCTCTCTCTCTCTCTCTCTCTCTCTCTCTCTCTCTCTCACACACACACACACACACACACACACATTTCTTTCATTCTTCTTTCTCTTTCTCATTCTTCCTTTCTCTCTCTCTCTCTCTCTCTCTCTCTCTCTCTCTGAATGGATTGAAGATAGGGATTAAATTCGACTATATATATATATATATATATATATATATATATATATATATATATATGTATGTATGTATGTATGTATGTATGTGTGGGTGTGTCTGTGTCTGTGTATCAATATGTGTGTGTCTGACTAGAATTAATAGATTTTACTGCATAATTCAACATTGTTATACACTGCGTGCCAAATTATTATCGAGATAACTTTTTTCTAATATTTCAAAAACCGTCCAATCAATGCACACAAAATTTTCACACAACGTTGGCAATACTGACCTGCGCAATCACTGAATGTTTCGTACTGATCTGCGCAATGTAAACAAACTGGTGTCATATTTGTTATCAGTACGGTGATTTGAGAGTGCCAAATTATTAGAAAGGTTAAGTAAAATTCCCAGAATTGAGCAAACAAAACGTTTATTAATGTTGCATGGGAATGTTTATGATCAAAATGATAGTTTTCTTTTCAGCATCACTTAAACTGCTTTTACGACCCATCTTTTCACTAAATTCTTACACTTTTCTAATAATTTGGCACTCTCAAATCACCGTGCTGATAACAAATACGGCGCCAGTTTGTTTACATTGCGCAGTTCCTGCCAAAACAATAGTTAGAATAAACTACAACAACCAACCCCAAAACCGAACAAATAGCTTTAATTAAATTCTCAAAACAAAACTATTAAATAAGCGATATAAACAAATTTTTACTACGTTAATAAAAACACCGATTAAAAAATAAGTAAATAAATAAATAAAATAAGAAACAAAAAATAAAATTAAATGAAAACAAGGAAAATAATTTAACGCAAATAAATAAATAAACGATTTCCGGTAAAATAACCGCCATAATAGACTACCCACAATGCACCACTGACCCGTATATGTACAAATAGCCGAGAAAAATAACAGCACACGTGGCCTGACGATTGCATATAGCATGAAACAGACTGTCGCCTCCAAGTGTTGACTTCTATGTTCACTTTTATATTTATATATATAGTTGTATATTTATGCAGCAATCCTTCTTTATGCATGTTTCATTAAAAACGACAGACAAGATACTACGGTTATATATATATATATATATATATATATATATATATATATATATATATATATATATAGCTGAGAAGTTGATAGACTGAACAAGATATGGAACCTAAGCAACACAATCCACGTTGGGGTTCACATACTTCTGCCATCGGTTTTGTAGTACTTGAACCTTATTGGTGAAATATCTTTCATCCTGTTGGTCAAAAAATCATCAACAGCAGACATGACGTCGTCATTACTGCGATACTGCCAAGTGTTTTTTCATGTTGGGGAACAGATGATAGTCAGATGAACAGTGAGGGTGATCAACCAGTTTAAAAATATAATCACGCACACAAGTCATTGAAACCAAGGACTTATGAGCTGGAGGATTGTCCGGGTGAAACGTAACTGTCCTAGTACTCTCCAATGATGACATCGCCCTTTTCAAGATAATGTCAGTAAACTCAATGCATTTTGCATACATAAAACAGAAGCTGTGACCTTTCAGGCAGATGAAACGTGCATGGCTTTCTTTGGAACAGGTGACTAAGGGTGTTTCTACTTCATGAATTGTCTATGATGTCATCAGCCTGGTGCACTTTTGATCAGGTATCAAAAGATGTGGCACCCACCGAGCAGAAAGCTTCGTCATGCTAGGTTTATTGTGCAGACTATTCTCAACTCTCTCACAGTTGGTATAGTACTCTGAAGAATTCTAAATCCGATTCTCTCCCACCACCACCACCACCATCAATCTGTCTGTCCATCTCTTTGACAGGAGTTTCGAACAAAAGAAAACATTTCGAAAGAATAAATATTTGATAATTGCACAGAGGGTAGAGTTTTGGACAGAAAATCGTCAAACCATTATATATTAACTAAGTTCATGATAACCTAATCAAACGTTCAACACCGGACATGTGTAGAAAAGATTATGTAGCTCTAAGCTTTAAAATTTGAAAGATACGCCTTGAAAATCAGTATTTGAAATCATAGCTTTGTCCATGGGTCAGTTTGCTGATGCCAGTAACAAAAACAGACCACGACATCAGCCATCACGAAAGGGTGACCCTCAACATTATACAACGTCTGTTCGGAAAACAGCCAACCATTTAATGTAAATGTAAAAATAAACAGTCTAAAAAGAGTTTAATGACTTGCTCCGCTTGTGAGTACTTCTCTTTGAGCAAATCCACATATATCCTATCACTATCAGGAGCTTCATTATGTTCTCCTTAATCTCGTCCATGAGCTTAAATCTCCATTTGAACAGTAATTTTATCTTTCGCGAAAGAAATTGCATAGAGCCAAATCAGATCTGCATAGGTTGTGGCAGCTTCTATTAAATGATGTTTGCCAACAAACTCTGCTCGAGACATTAAGAATTGACAGGCAATGAGATGATCACACATCGATACCATAGGTGTCGGGGGCTATTCTTGTGTGTATTATAAGGTTGTTAATTTACCAACGTCGCACAGCCGATTCTAGAGATATTCAAAATGGTTGGATACGTAACGGACTAGCCATGATACTGTATAAGCGATATTTACACGTGATATGCAAGAAAACCATCTGGATAATATGGATTTTACAAGTATAAATCTGGCTACTTTGAGAGTAAGCTTTTAAGTAGATATGTTTTTCTGAAAGTTCATTTTGAGGTGCAAGGTCGAATTTCAGTCAGTCGTATCATGAAATAAGAATTTCTCTGAAGATCCCAGTGTAGCATCCCAGATTAAGCTCCTCTCAGAATATACCCGGGTATAGTTTAACGTAATCTAAAATTACCTGCGAATAACTACACTTCTTTATAGTTTGGAGTATAAAATTGCCTAGTCTAAAAAAGTGCAGAGTGTGGCTTAATGGTTGACGGCATGGAATGAGAAATTAGAGGACCGAATTCTAATTGGGTTTGTTACATTCGCATACGCGCAAAAATCTCAAAATGTGTGAATCCATTTTTCTCCGCCCGCCAGCTATGGGTTAAAAAGCAGGTGAGATTAGGTTCTATAGCCATGGTTGGCAAACAGCCTACCGCAGAAAGAAACGGCAACCTACTGCGAGAAAATCGTTTGCCTAATCAGGAATCGAAAGAGAGATGATCACCCAAGCGTGAATCGCGTATGGCACTTGATTGACTATATCTCTTTTCCCTCCAGCTGTGGGTTAAATAGCAGAAGAGGTTGGGTTCTATAGCCTTGGTTGGCAACCAGTCTACCGCAGAAAGAAACGGCGACCTACTGCGGGAAGATTTTCTGCCTAGTCAGTGATGAATTGAAAGAGACGTGATCACCCAAGCGTGCATTACGTATGGGAATTAACACTATTTATTTCTCCACTGTCTTAACCAGGTATTGAACTCACAACTCTTTGGGTTTTGTCACTGGATCTAACCAACGCCCTTATCTTCTGTGCCATGTATCCTTAAGGACATGGCAGAGTTGTGAATTCAATACCTGGTTAAGGCAGTGGAGAACTTGGAGAGGGGAATTAACATGAGATAACTGATAACTGACATCAATTGGTCATGGCACGTGGAACTAGAACAGTCTACACCAGTGAGCGAAATAAAGGATTCAATTCGACATTCCAAGCACCTGAAGAAGCCCGGAGCGTACATCGGCTGAAACGTTGTGATAAATATGGCAGCAAAGATGAGGACAATAGTCCGAATAATGTAAACAGTGTACATAATACCTCATCTCAGAAATATAGATAGGTATTGAGTTGAGTGAAAAAATACCCAACTTGGAAAGTTTAAACTCATTTTTACCATCAATCAATTGATTTTTACATAGAATGTTCTGAAAAAACGACCATCATTTTGACCAAAATTAATAGGTTTCCAGAAGTTAGGTCTACTAATGTATAAAACATGGAATCGGAGTAAATCTGAAGACTGTAAAATGCACACCTGAAATATCTGCGAACGTGCGTCACTGCACGGTCTCCATGGTATCCCTGACGATCATCATATACATTTTATTTCATGATAAAACCTAATGATTTGAACCTAATGTATATATTCTAGACGAGCCAATTTTATACCCGGGGGTACAAACTAGTCGAGCTTAACTTGTACCCGTTTCACCGGCCATTTCTTAGATGATGGTAACAATCCAACAACAACTATAACATGTGACACAGTATTATCTACCTCTTGTTGGGACGGGGAATACTATCAAGTCAGCTCATTGTTTTCAAGATAGAATGACAGACCAAAAGCCCGACACGTCAACGATTTCCAAGATCCTGTTGCTAACCAAGCAACTAAAAAGTCTAATATATGATAGACTCGTTTGATTGATGAAATTATAGAGACGCAGTCAAAACGGTTGGCATTTAAGGCCTGGATTGGTTAACTGCATAAGTTGGTTGGTTTGGTTGATTTTGTTTAGCGGTCTATCAACCTTTATGGATAATTTAATACCGATATTTAAATATTTTAAACACAATCTTATGGCTTCAACTAAATATATACTATAATTAGGTATTTTTTTATATAAAAATCTATTTTTTTATTTTTATAATGTTTTTTGTTTGAGAGTTCACTATTTTCCCATCCTGGAGCAGGGTTGACCTGGGAACAACAGTAATTAAGAGGTGCTTCCACGCTAATTAAAACCACCAATTTCTCGTTCAGATGTCTTGCTGCTGCATGTAGTTTATCGTCATACCCAGGACTAACTGCATAAGTAAAAACATAAAATTATTTAACCCTCCCCTTTTTAGTGGTTACGTTTATATTTCCCCTTCATTGTTTATTTGTTCATTATTTCCATTTTTCTTTAACCTTCTCTCTCTCTCTCTCTCTCTCTCTCTCCTTCTCCTTATTGTTTCCTCACTTTCCTTCCTTTCTACTCTTCCGTGAACGTTTTCCTCCTACTTATTTATGTCTGTCTCGCATCCCTTCCCTCTTACCTTCCATTTTTCTTCCCTTTTTCCTTTCTTTGTTCTTCCCTTCCTTTCTAATTTATATCTATCCCCCTGCCTCTTCCTACTTCTCGCGTCCCTTCTTTCTTATCCTCATTCCTTCTTTCTTTCTTCCTTCCTCTCTTCCTTTCTACTTTATGCGCCTTTATCTTTCTCTCGTTCCCTTTCCTTTCTTTTGCTTACGCCCTTCTTTCTCTTTTAAAAAACCAAAGCAATCCTAGAACGTTGCGTGTTTTTACATAACAACATTTGCCTAAATGTTGTTCTTCGCATTACAGCATAAACGTCGGACTCTGTTTGTACGAACAATTCACTGTTTGATTTATATCTTCTATATTTGATAGGGCGGGGTCGAGCTAACGAAACCCCCACACACACACACGACCCTGTAGTACCCACGCAAACAACATCGAAAGCCTCATCACTCTATTCCGGGTTTCGCTTTGGTGTTTATCTTATGACAGTGAGACAAGGAGAAGGGCGTGAGTTACAGTCGACGCAGCTTTCACAACTCTTTCCTGTCTCTGCGGTCCCATGTTGGGCCGATATAAACGGGTTTTTGTTTTATTCATAAAAGAAAGGGAGACAGCAACACTATTTATATAGATCACCCCGACACACATTCAACGAGATTTACGAGTACAGTTTTGTAATAGTACTGAAGAGAAATCTCTCTAGATTGTCTTGTATCAAACTGTATTAGCACGCTAGCAAGATAGATAGATAGATAGATAGATAGATAGATATGGTGTAAGCAAAGTCTTTAGACCATTTCAAAAAAGTCATTATGAAAACCTTAGAAGAGGTGGCAACTAAATTTTTGTTGCATATTAATATGTTATTATTGAAGTTCTTTTGATGATATTAAAAGTTTTCTTAACGTTTTTTGTTTCGTTTTTTATTTTCCAGGCGACAATTAAAGAATTACATGAACAGAAATTGAATATCACTGAGACGTCGTCCTTCCTACAACGAATGGAGCCCACGTAAAAAATTATCAACTACTTTTATATAAACTTCAGTATTTATTTCATATTATGTCAATATTTCAACAGTATCCAATTAAAGAGATATAATAGTCATGTATGGAATCCACAGTACTTTAGCATTTATTATTTTTTTTAAAAATGAACTAACTGTAATTTGTAGATATTCTACAATATTTACTTTAAAAAATAGTGAATAGAATTTTTCTATGTCCATTATTTTATTATATATAATGGTACATATAATATTTCTATAATTCCTTGATTTTTATTTTAATATTACCATGTACTGTGGCCCGTTGAATATAAGTATAGTATTTTAGTATGAAAATAATATAAAATAATATAATATATAAAATTGATTTAATCATACTAGAAGCCTCTTTAAGATAGTTCTAAAGTATAAACAATAATAATTTTTAAAAAATAAAACCCTAAAATTAACCTTTCGCTAGATACACAACCATCCGATTATATAATTGTGACTAAAACTCATATTCTTAACGGGGTGTAATTGATGACACGTCTAAAAATGATGGTTCATCTAGACAAGTTTGAATAACACCAAACCCCCACCCCACCCCACCTCACCCCACTACCCCCGCTTAATTTCTAACCTACATTTCTTCACTTTTCTGCTTTAGCTTTGATCTGTCTTTTCATTGGTCAAAGAAGACATACCCATAAAAATGTTGAATAAAATACCATTCTGTTTTCAAAAGTAAATCATTTTCATCAAAAGTTACACAACATCGCTTGATAATGGAACAGATTTAAGTTCCGAAACATAGAAATTTCCGTGTCGCGATGTAAAACATTTTTAAATAAAAATATTATAACATATATATATATATATATATATATATATATATATATATATATATATATATATATATCGGAGGGTATCCTTTTAATTTGGTATGCATACTTACTGGACAAAGGGGAAAGGTGTTAACGTTAAAAAAAAGTTGGTTCCTGATGGTGAAAGTGCGTATCCAATTCTTTTCTTCTGTCTTTAGCCGTAACAATTACCTTTTGTAATCATTCAATGTAAGACGATATTTTTATTATTAATGACCGGAGAATAAAATATATTTGGCCTTTGAAAAAACAATTTCACAGGACAATTTCTTCACCTCAAATATATTGTAATATTTCTTTATTGGAAACTTATCAGAAACTATTTTTTTCTTTTCGGCTAACAATGAAAACAAAATGATTGTCCATCTGTTTGTTTACATGAGTAACCTTGTTTTAAACGACATCTTATCCATCATGGTGACTGGTGTCATTGACGAATCAATCTGGACTTAAGTGAACAATGACAATAATAACTGCTTTTTTTCTTTTCCAAGGAAAACTGCAAATTAGACATTTTTAATTACACGTTTCATTTATTCCAACTCAGAGTAAAAAGTTTCGTGGAAATACTTTTCAAGATTAAGACATTGCTTCCTTTCTTCTGTTTGTGTAGTCTTCAGGACATGAAGCAATCATGGCTTTCCACCACTTCCTGTCTTTTCCATCATCTCTCCCAGGCCCTGTTCTACCATCCAGCTCTTTAAGTATATTACCCACTGGTTTTAGTCTATCCCATTTACCATAAATATGTCCTGTGAGTGTCAAATTCCACAAGCCTTCTTTTCTCATTATGTGTCATATAAATTTCAACAATCACTTTCTGATTCTAAGTATGTGTCCTTTTTATTTCAGTTTTCGTTTAAAATTCGTCGTTACTCGCATATTCAGTCCATGATATTCTCAGCATCCTTCTATAGAACCACATTTCTGTTGTCTCAAAGTTTCTATTTAATCTGTAAGAGGATTTCCAGTATTCAGTGCCATAAAAAAGGCATGATATTGCGTAACACTTCAAAACAACTTTTCTTTAATTTTCCTGTTTCTCAATACTTTGCTTAGCTTTCGGAAAACACCTTTCGCCATTGAAATACAACTTCGGATTGGGTTGACCCATTTTCCAACCTCTGTTAAAACACTTCCCAGGTATTGAAATTTCCGTCCTTGCTTGATTTTAGTGTCTCCAATTTATACTTCACAACTTGGGTTGTTCTTGTTGACAACCATATATTTTAATATATTCTTCTCACTTACCTTTATCAAAATTCTGTACGATTTCCTGAAATTTTTTTTCTTTCCCTGCTACTAACACTGCGCCATTTGCATATCTTATTTTGTTGAGATTGTGGCCGCCAATAATAAATCCTGATAGGACTTCTAGTTCTCCCAGGATCCCCTCACTCTAAAGGTTGAAGACACACCTAGGACTTACACCTGTTTTGTTTTTTTGTTTTCTTTTCTTTGTTTTTTTGTTGTTTTTTGGGGGGTTTTTTTTGGTGTATTTAATAACTTCTTTTTTTAATTTTTATCCATATGGGGAGGGGCGTTTTGCTCCCAGTTTTGATATTATTATCTGTGGTGTAAGAATATGTAGAGAATTGGAGCTGCATACAGAGTATTTGGAAAGTTGGTTAAACCCGTCTTCAACAACAATGATCTGAACTTAACAAAATTTATGCTCTGTAATGCTGTTGTCATTTCAGCTTTGTTATATGGTTGCGAAACGTGGCCTCTATATGGTTGCAATATTAACAAATTAGCAGGCTTTCACCAGTAAAATCTTCGTTCAAACTTGAACATCAACAGGAATTACTATGTGACCAACACCAAATTCCCGGAAAGAGCCAAAGCATCGAAGGCAAATAATCCAAACATCGAATCGCTGATCATGAAACACTTTCTTCATGGGTCAGGTCATGTGGCAAGAATGAAAAAGTTAAGGTTTCCCAGTCAAGTGTTATTTAGTGAACTCACTTCAGCTCAAAACAACACTGAAAGCCATTGGAGCCGAAATCGTTTCAAACACAAGACCCTAACCAAGTGATGATGTTCCATCAGCAACGGAACCAAAAATCTTTAAAGCCAACTGAAGAGAAAAGGATAAAAAATCAAACAGCAAAAGAGAAAGGCTTGACAAAATCGATCTCGTCATTCACCAACATTATTATGCAGTGAATGCCATCGATTCTTCCAGGCAAGAATTTGTCTACTTAGTCATCAATACCATCATTATAAAGGAAGCGATCAGAAAAGAAGAAATTTAATTCTTGGATACGAGATATAGCCAATGACGACGAAATTCAAGATTATTCTAATATTATCATTAAAATCAGCTTTATTCTCACTTTTTACCAGGTGTTGGCGGGTATTTCACCTCGCATTGTTATAGTTTTTCTCTCTTTTTTATTAGTTATTGCTGTTAAAATATTATTGTGTCTAATTTATAAAATAAGTTTCATAAGAGATAAGTGTCGAGAAAATAGCATATATATAGGGGTTCGGTACTATACACGGTTTCGGTTATCCGCTGGAAATTCATTGACGCCCGTAAATATCATGTGATCTAGCATATTTTTAAGGAAAAGGCTATTTGGCCGGTCCCGTAAAATAGGCTAAGATGTGTTTAAGCTTATAAAAGGCTATTTGGCCGGTCCCGTAAAATAGACTAAGATGTGTTTAAGCTTATAAAAGGCTATTTGGCCGGTCCCGTAAAATAGACTAAGATGTGTTTAAGCTTATAAAAGGCTATTTGGCCGGTCCCGTAAAATAGACTAAGGTGCGTTTAAGCTTATTTTACTTGTCTCGGTAAAATAGACCCCCAGGCTATTTTGCCGGTAAATATTTCTATTATTATAAAGACAGGTGATGTTAGAAATAACAAAACACAGATTTAACACAAAAGTTTATTTATTGTCGCTATCAATTGTTAAGATAATTTAAAATCTTTTCCACCGTCACTTGTTAAAAGAAAAGTTCAAATCATTTATTCATCATCAATCATTAAACGAAATAAGTCTCTGAATATTTTAAGCACATCAGACAAAGTTTAACATTTTGACTTTATACTTCAGCCTGCTTTTGTCGAAGATTTCCTAAAAGGAAGAGGCTATTTAGCCGGTCCTGGTAAAGTAGACAAACATGTTTTTCAGCTTATTTTACCAGTCTCGGTAAAATAGACCCCCAGGCAATTTTACAGGTAAATAGTTTTATTATGAATGGAGTTAACACAAGTTCAAATCATTTATTCATCATCAAATATTTAAAAAATATAGAAGTCTTTGAATATTTTAAGCACTTCAAACATGAAAGTCTGCAAATTCAAAACTTGACCTTAGGCAGGATTCTCTTGCCAATACACTCAGGTGCATCCAATGGAG